CAGCAGCAGCAGCAGCAGCAGCTGCAGCAGCAGCAGCAGCAGCAGCAGCAGCAGCAGCAGGGGGAGGAGCTGCTGCAGCGGCGGCTGCTGGAGTGCTACACGGAGATCTGCATGCACTTCAAGCCCGTGCTGTCTCTGTTCTTTCTGGAAGCAGCAGCAAGTCCCGGAGACTGGTTTATGAAAAGGAGACAGTTTGTTGTGTCTGCTGCTGCTGCTTCGGTGGCGGGGTTTGCTGCAGGGCTGGGGGACCGGCACCTGGGCAATTTGCTGCTGCAGCAGCAAACGGGGCAGCTGGTGCACATCGACTTCGGGATCCTTTTCGAGCTGGGATCGCTTTTGCCGATCCCGGAGACGATCCCCTTTCGTCTTTCCAGAGACATTGCAGATGCTCTTGGCTGCTTCGGAGTCCAGGGCCCCTTCAAGTCTTTTTGCTGCTGCGCTTTGCTGCTGCTGCGCTGCAGCAGCCCCCTCGTCGACGCCGTGCTGCAGGTGCTGCTGCTGGACCCCCTCTACTCCTGGAGGCACCCCAGCAAGCTGCTGCTGCAGCAGCAGCAGCAGCAGCAGCACCTCTACCACCAGCAGATGCTCAACCACCAGCTCCTCAACGGTCCGACACACGCCCACTCACGCGGCTTTAGGGTTTAGGGTTTACGGGCTAGGGTTTACGGGTTAGGGGGCAGGGTTTAGGGTTTAGGGTTTAGGGTTTAGGGTTTAGGGGGGTTCAGTTTATTGGGGTTTCCGGGTTATTAGGGTTTTCGGTTGTTAGGGCTTTGAGTTGTTAGGGTTTTGGGGGTTTAGGGTTTCGGGGTTATTAGGGTTTAGGGTTTGGGGGTTAGTAGGGTTTAGGGTTTAGAGTTTGTGACGCAGCAGACACTGAGGGGCTCTCCACAGTGGAAGGCAACAAAATCGCCATGAGGGCAATTCTCAAGGTCAAACCCTAAACCCTAAACCCTAAACCCTCACAGGAATAAACCCTAAGTAGGGTTTAGGAAGAGCAACGGCGCTCTCCTTAAACCCTAGATGGCGGTTTGCCTCCTAAACCCTAAACCCTAAACCCTCGTTTGCTACTCCGATGGTCCAAGGTGCCTCCGTCTCTCCTGCACCTCAGACTCCAAGCCCCGAACCCTAAACCCTGAACCCTAAATTGTGGTTTGCGGCTGTGTTGGCCCAAGTTGCCTTCTGCTCCCTTCCACCCCAAGCCCTAAACCCTAAGCGCTGAATTGTGGTTTGCAGCAGCGTAGGCCCGAGGTGCCTCCCTCTCTGCTGCGCCGCAGCTCCCAAGCCGCAAACCCTAAACCCTAAACCTTAATTTGTGGTTTGGGGCTGCTGCAGGTGCGCTGCAAGCTGCAGGGTTTGGAGACTGAGGGCGAAGCGCCCTTGTCAGTTGCTGCTCAAGTTGACCGCCTTCTCAACGCAGCACAAAGTCCCCACAACCTCTCCAGACTCTTCGCCGGCTGGATGCCCTTCGCCTAGCTAGCTAGCTAGCCAGCTAACTATCTAGCTAGCTAGCTAGCTAGCTGGCTGGCTAGCTGACTGGCCGGCTTGCTAGCGAGCTGGGTGGATGCACTTCGCCTAGCTAGCTAGCTGGCTAGCTAGCTAGCTGGGTGGATGCCCTTCGCCTGACTAGCTAGCTAGCTAGCTAGCTAGCTTGCTGGCTAGCTAGCTGTGTGGATTCCTTTCGCGTAGCCAGCTAACTAGCTAGCTAGCTAGCTAGCTAGCTAGCGGGGTGGATGCCCTTGCATAGTTAGCTAGCGAACGAATGAGCCAGCCGGCAAAATAGCTAGCTGGCTGGGTGGCTGGGTGGCTGGGTACCCCTTGGCTAGCTAGCTATCTAGCTAGCCAGCTAGCTAGCTAGCCAGCTAGCTAGATAGCCAGCCAGCTAGGTAGCTGGGTGGGTGGGTGGATGCCTTTTGGCTCGCAAGCTAGCAAACTAACTAGCTAGCTGGGTGGCTAGCTAGCTGGGTGGCTAGCTAGCTGGGTGGCTAGCTAGCTGG